TTTGGCCTACAATTCCCAGAAATCCCAGCCAGTTTACCAGCTGTTAGGATTTCTGGGGGTTGAGGGACAAAAACATCTGGGGACCACAGGCTGAGAACCACTGTTTTAAACAGAGGCTGGATGGCCATCTATCGGGGGTGCTTTGAACACGATAGTCCTGCTTCTTGGTAGGGAGTTGGACTGGATGGCCCACAAGGTCTCTTCCAACTCTATGATTCTATGATTTTATGAAGGCCCTCTCGGCCACCGCTGACACCTGTGCATCAAGCGTCAGCACTGAGTCCAGGAGGACCTCCAAGCTGCAGACCTGTGTCTTCAGGGGGAGTGCAACCCCGTCAAGCACAGGTTGCCACCCTATATGCCGGTCAGACGTACAACTGACCTGGAGGACCTCTATCTTGTCAGGATTGATCTTCAGCTTGTTCACCCTCATCCAGATCATCACAGCAGCCAGGCACTGGTCCAGAACCCGTGGGGCTTCCTTGGATTCCGGTGGAATAGTGGAGTTGGGCGTCATCTACATAGAGATGGTACCCAACTCCAAAACTCCAGATGACCTCTCCCAGCGGTTTCATGTAGATGTTGAAAAGCATGGGAGACAGAATGGAACCTTGCAGGATCCCACAGGTCAAGGGCCATGGGTCCCAGCAGGTGTCCCCCAGCTTCACCAACGGGGAATGATCCTCCAGAAAAATCGGAGCCACAATAAAACTGTGCCCCCAAGTCCATCCCGGAGAGCCGTCCCAGAAGGATACCATGGTTGATGGTATCAAAAGCTTCTGGGATGTCCAAGAGAACCAGCAGGGTCGCACTTCCCCTGTCCAGTTCCCTGCGGAGGTCAGCCACCAAGGCGACCAAAGCCATCTCTGTACTGTGACCAGGCCTGAAACCAGATTGTCATCAATCCAAATAATCGGTGTCATCTAGGAATCCCTGGAGCTGTGAGGCAATGTTATTGCTGTCCTGTTTCACACTAGAAATAACTCTATGAAACAAAATCTGATTTTTTTTTCTGTTCCTGGTTTGAAAATATTATTTCCTGTTTAATTGTGCAGTCCTTACTTTGAAAGTCATTGTTCTGCTCCAGAAACATCATTTTTGTGGCTGCCATAATGTAGGTTGAATTATATAAGACTCTATGAGATTTTAATTGAAAAACTATAGCAGGATGTCCCTCCTGCAACAACAATTTTTTTGCAGTTTAATAAACTTTTCCCATGTTTTTATGATACAAAAATCGTGTTACATGGTGTTAATGACCCCCATTTTCTGCCACAAATCTGTGACTATTTTGCGGTAGATATCTTCCTTGGCCACATCATGAGGAGACAGCAAAGCCTAGAGAAGGGAATGATGCTGGGGAAAGTGGAAGGCAAAAGGAAGAGGGGCCGACCAAGGGCAAGATGGATGGATGGCATCCTTGAAGTGACTGGACTGACCTTGAAGGAGCTGGGGGTGGTGACGGCCGACAGGGAGCTCTGGCGTGGGCTGGTCCATGAGGTCACGAAGAGTCGGAGACGACTGAACAAATGAACAACAACAACATCTTCCTTGAACCAAGGAAAGGAAATCTCTAGCAGAGAGGCTCTCAGTCATTGGGATACTCGGGTGAGAGAGACACTTCCTCTCTGGAGGTTTTAAAATAGAAATTTAAAATAGAAAAACAGATGGCCATCTGTTGAGAGGGCTTGGGTTGTGCCTCCCTGTCTGGCAGAAAGGAGTGGGACTGGATAGCCCGGTGGGTCTCTTCCAACTATGATTCTACCTGAATTTGGGTATACATACAACCTCTAAACAACCCCTAACACATGATTCTGTCTGGCAGAACTGTGGCTTTATTGGCTATCATGCTGTTTCCCTAGTTTAGGCTCCATTTGCTGCTATGAGAGATTCTGCATGCTATGGCTATTGTGCCGACAAAGACCCAAATAGGTAGAATAGACGTAGCTACATAATAGGGCAAAAGGCCAACCTTAAAAACTTTGGCATAGACAATGAGAACTGGGAAGCCCTGGCCCTTGAGCGCTCCAGCTAGAGGTCAGCTGTGACCAGCAGTGCTGCAGAATTTGAAGGGGCACGAATGGAGGTTGAAAGAGAGAAACGTGCCAAGAGGAAGGCGTGTCAAGCCAACCCCGACCGAGACCGCCTTCCACCTGGAAACCGATGCCCTCACTGCAGAAGAAGATGCAGATCAAGAATAGGGCTCCACAGCCACCTACAGACTCACAAGAATACTGTCCCTGGAAGACTATCCTACTCAGCCAACGAGGGATCGCCTAAGTAAGTAAATAAATAGGGCAAAACATGAACTTCACTTTGAATCTGAACCTATCACATTTTGCCTGATTTGTGTGGGGCACTTTGTTCACCCAGCAGGGCGGTTTGATCAAATAAACCTGTTGAACGATTGCCTTGCCTTCAGATTCTGATTGAACAACAACCCCGGGTTACTTGGTAATAGAGGGACATGGCAGCTTGTGTCAACAATGTCTCAATTGTATGGCGTTCTGAGAGTTGTAGCTTTACAAGTTGTCACTATGAGTTTTGGTGTTTTACCAAACTACAGACCCCAGGACTTAATGGTAAACCTAAGCTGAACTGATCACAGGGTTTTCTTTGCAAGGTTTGTTCAGAGGTGAGTGTGATTTGTCCAAATATATCTCTTGGGTTTCTATGACCAAGAAGAAACTTGAACCCAGGTCTCCAGAGATCTTGTCCAACACTCAAACCACCTCATCACATAGAGAAAAAGGCACACCCAAAAGACAGCAATCATTATGTATATTTTTATTTCCCACTTGCGATTTATGCCACTAAATTAAAACCCCGGTTCCTTATCACAAAAGTATTCTATCACAGGGGATGGTTATCTTTCAGGAGTGCTTTAGTTGTGGATTCCTGCACGACCGAAGGGGGTTGGACTTTGCTGGACCCTGCTCTGGGTTTTAATAAGGGTGGCTATGGACATGTTCCAGGATCTTCTTGAGCGCGACCCAGGTTTCTTCTGCGGTCGGGATGATCTGGTCCGCGGGCAAAATGAAGCCATATCGCCCTGTGTCTCGGAGCTCAAAAGTGTAGGAATATTTGACCCCGTTGTCGT